GATAACAATTTTATCATAGCCAGGACTTTCCGCTCAAATTATGAGAACCTGGCTCATAGATTTTCGTAGATACTTCTTACTCCCCTTAAACATAATATGTTTATATATAAGTTTATCACAAGCTCTAATATCTACACATCCCTGTCACTCACCTGCCTTTTGTCGTTTCCAGTCCATTCTTTGTACTTCGAGGAATAAACTCAATAAACTGATAAACTGATAGACTATATATTATTATTATTATAACCTATGAGAGATAACAAAACATTTATACAAACTATCAAAAATGTAACTTATTTTGTAACGCACTATTTTGTCAACGCACCAAATGGAATAGTGTAAGACTTTTTTTTTAAATTTTACAAAAAAACGTTACATCTGAGATAATTCGAGTTGCTTGCATCTAAAACGATAACTCACGGACGACAGTGCGGCATCGGTTACAATAATTCACAACTCGGAGTGCCAATAGTATATAATTAGTATTTCATTATTACACCTGTACATCGCCACTTTAAATTATTATTACTTTCGGTTATTGTTTATCGGATTGGTGTTACCACGACAGTGTCGTGCTTCGTGCAACATTGTTGTAGCTATGGTAATGGAAATGTCGCAACGACGACAGTGGTGGTGGTCGCGCGGTGGCCTTCAATAACGACTTGTTATCAGCGTTGTGGTGGAATAGAATGGTTGTGTGGTACTGTGGTACTTGCGCTCACACGTTATCGCGGTAGGTATGTGCCACATGCGGTTCTGAACGGTCGTTTACAGCGCGTAGTGCATCGCAGCCGTCCGTTGTGTGTTGTTTGCGTCGCGTTTTTTCTAATATTGTATGTTCGTCGCATCGAAGCGGTTTGGTGGGTTTTCGATTGTGGGTGTAAGAGAGACACGATTCGACGGAGATTTTCACAACAGCATCAGAATAAAACCACTTTACGGTATCCTCGCCGGTTGTGCGCACCGAACGTGTGGTAGACTCTACCCGTGTTCGGAGGATGAATCGGTGACACCGGATTACCGTTGGCCACCGTACAGTGCACAGGATTAATAGTTAAACGCAAACGCCGCCACAAACAGGTAATTTGGGTTTTTACTGGAGTTGGGTAGATAATTTAGTAAATATAGTAAATATTTTCTTCGTCGTCGATACCACCGATATTACAATTTATTTTAAAAATCTTTCTCTAGCAGAACATAACTATTGCATAATATATTAATATATATTATTTTACGACATTTTTGTACTGATAACCACAGGAGGTATAAATGTAGGATTATACCTTATGGGGTATAAAATATGTCCAACGTTAGAATTTCAGTGTTTATTTTTATACAGCCCCATAAATCCGTTGAAATATTGAAGGTACCTCTACCTAGGTGCGCTCGTTTTGGTACCGCCTCCATCCCGACGTATTTTTTCGAACAAAATTTTTATTTTTTTATCCGTTTAAACACGAGGAAAAATTCTGAAAATACAATGTTAAGTATTTTTATTATTATAGTATTACAAATTCACATTTACACGCACCCGGACCAACCTCGTCAGGTTTATTTTCTTGCCTGTACCTTGTGGGTTTAGAATACTCCGCCTTATACCCACCTTTAAACTTTATAATATATCACAACCAAAAAGCTTGAAAATTGAAAATAAAAAAAAAAAAAATGTTAAACGAACGCTATGAAGTAATTTTTATTATATAAATATCTATATTTATATTAATAATTATTTACACTAATGGATTTATATTATACGTGGAAATAGAATAGAATCTATAAATTGAATAAGATAAATTTAGTTCACAGTTCAAAAAATATTATAAAATAGGTACCTAATGTAACATTAGATGTCTAAGTACATATTTTATGATTATTACAATTTATATGATTTGTATGGACAATTATTATTTTAATTTTAAGTTATGTATATTTTTTGGCATATACGCATACCTATATAACTTTTATTCAACGATGACGATTATGATTATAAAAATTATAATTTACATATTATACATTTGATACTGTAGGTAAATAAATGTAAATAAAATCTAATTTTATACTTTTAACCAACATTTTATTTTTAAGTTTACCATTTTGGTATACCTATTACGCAATATTTAATGTGAACTATAATAATTTTTTTTATAATAATACATTATATTAATTTTATACTATTACCTGATGGCTGATCTTTTTACTGGTGGAGTTAACTTGAACCCAATTTTGCCTGATTTTTTCTTATTAGAGTTAACACTAAAATGGGTATAATATGTGTTAATTTTTCGTACGTCTACTCTGAATATGTAGGGAAAACCCCAATGAGTGATGGCTTTTTTTGTTGTACAAATGTACAATTATTTTAATAAATAATAGTTCATCCTATTCGAGTTGAACGTCTGACCCATGACCCTACGACCATTGTCGAAGTAATCGTAAGAGTTAATGCGGCTATAATAGTTGGGTATATTTTTAACGATAAATTCAAAAATCAAGACTCGTYTGGCTTGAAATAATTGTCAAAATATTAATAAATCATAACCATAATGTAATTGCTTGGTTTAAATTTAAAAACCATAGTCATGTGATCACGGGTCGATACTACAACTTACAAAATATATTCCCACCTTTAAAACGTATATTTTATAATCTGTATCAGTCTATCTACCGGTTCTTATAATATCATGGTGAATAACGAGGTAAATAATTAAATCACCTTTTAGGTTATCACCGGTAGACCATCAACGCCAAATGGAAATACCTCGCCAAATACCCTTTGACATATCGACAAATTTCAATTACAGCTAGACGAAATACTCGAATAAGACAACAATATTTTATCCTCGATTTATCATTTTTTCGCCCACTTTAGGTGTTTAGCAATAACCCCTACTAGTGTCATGGTCAGTTGAGCAGCCAGTCAAATAATAAGACCTAAACAAAATTAATACGATAAAAAATATTTTATATTCTTATATAAATCTATAATAAGACTCTCGCGTCGTATTAATGTGTGTTCAAGTGTTTTTTGTTAGTAGTTTTGTATCTATTTCTTAGTTTCAAACGATTTTTAAAATATATATTTAAATTAATAATTTTAATAATCACTTATGTATATGGTTGTACATTAATTTTTTTAATAATCCCGTACATCCCACCATTCACACCTATTCATAAAAAACCTAGTTATAGGTAAAACTCGAAATGATTTTAAAAACCAACTTTGAATTCAAAATCTTGAATTTTTAAACATTTTCCTTGTAGATTTCCTACTTAGTAGTTTAGACATCAGCCCTCGATTATGATTTCCTGAAAAATGGAAACCAATCAGACTACCCTAATATACACTACCGAAATTATTCTATATTTTGCTATAGTTGTGACACTGCACCTCCACTCACCAAGTGCAACATATCTTTAGTAGGTAACTATATTTTTGCAACAATACAAAAATAATATTGTTATTACCTATTCTTTATCGTGAGTGTATCTATTATTCGTATATATTGTTTACCTCGTTGTTTACCTAATGCACTTGCTGACGCGCACGTATAAGGATATGGGGTCGTGAAGTCATGATCGTATATGATGATACATTGATACCGCACTGACCATATGAAAATTGCCGCTTTGAACTCTGTTGATTACTTAGATTTTATTAATGGAAGTATCGTGTTTAAGTCGAAGTACGTGTATAGTTTGTGTGACTATTTATAGGTGCGCTAAAACATTACAATACACAACCACGGCGGTCCCTATCCTCGACAAAAAAAAAAAAATAATAACAAAATGGTTTGTGCTCGGACAAAGGAACCAATAATCTGCGTTTGACACGTCGGTAATACCTATATGTACTAATGTAGGTAGCTACTATTATATATTATGTAAATAGTTGTGTGCATAAGCGGCAATAGTATTTTTTTTACGTAGTATGCTGAGTTTACGCCCAAAGGTTCTTTTTTTCTATAGTAATTTATATGATTATTTGTCGAATGCTGTACAGTAAACTATGTAATATGAATATTATGTATTAATTTAAAAATCCTATCGCGCGAAACAATTATTTTTCCCTGCCATGGCATAATATTAAGTAATATTATGACGTTGTCAGAAAGGTTGATTATAGATCCCTGCGCTTATCGTCGCCGTTATTTTTTAATTTTAATTTTGCGAATTTTTCTGCAAATATTATAGTCTACCATCGAACGACCTTCCGGTTTACCATGATGAATTTTCTATTAACCATTATATTTTAAACGAACTATTTTTTATTTGTATTACATAATACCAATATAGTAATATAGTAATATAGTAATATATGGCTACATCGGTAAGTTATTTAATAAAAAACAATATCTTAAAATGTTTTCTTTTTTTTTTCAAATAGGCATATGACGTTAAAATTAACTTAAAATACTTAAATGATATTATATCATTCACTGTATTTTTACAAAACAATGAGAATGTTTTACGTGAATGCATATTACGTTAAACACATCACCAACTTTTCAGACATTTTATTTTGCTCGTCGTGGAAAGCGAACGTTAATAATTAATATTAGGTACTCGTGCAAAGCCGAGAGGTCGAGCCTTTGTTTATATCTACCATAAATAAGATTAAAGATTACGTAAGATGTTAATTTCCGTTAAATTTCCTAATATTATTTGGCTTAATAAATATTATTATTAGTATTATAAAAGACCAGGTGAAAATTTACGATCGATTCTTATGTTTTTGTTATAACTAATTTTTTTATTGGAAGTGATGAAGTTTTATTGCCAACTTTTACGATTGCAGTCGTGTTAAATTATAAAGTTACCAGTTTCTGCTCTCTCCCTCATGAACACTCATGCCTACATTCTCTCTGTTTCATTCGCTGCTTTCTCTCTCATATTGGATATAATCGTTCATACTTAATACAATAATATATTATTATACAGGGTTCCCGCGAGGATTTACCCATTGCAATATCTCACGAAATAAAGGAGATATCAAAATTCTGGTTTTATAATAAGATTCACAGGGATAAGAACTACAATTATTTCATTTTTAAATTTATTTTAATGTTTTTGTAAAAAATTTAAAAAATATATATTTTTATTTAACTATTTCCAAAAAAATTTAAGATGGTCATTTTTTAGAGTTTATTTTTCTGAAAATATTGACGTTTCAAAATTTTATTTCCATTAATTTCCTGATTCTTGATATTTTTTCTAGTTTTGAAGAAATAAAATATGATTATAAGTTTACAACTCTTAGGAACACGGAAAGTATTCGGCCGACCGTATGGGAATGCGTGCTCCGCGGTGCGTCACATGTTTGATAACATTATGCGGTGTTAAATAATTCACAATTTTTCTCGAAACTAAAAAAAAATATTAAAAATCAGGAAATTAATGAAAATAAAATTTTGAAACGTCAATATTTTCAGAAAAATATACTCTACAAAATGGCTATCTTAATTTTTTTGGAAATAATTAAATATAAAAATATATTTTTTAACTTTTTTACCAAAACATAAAAATAAATTAAAATATGAAACAATTGTAGTTCTTATCCATGTGATTTTTATTACAAAATCGATATCACAATTCTTTCGGGAGATATCGCAATGGGTAAATTCTCACGGGACACCCTGCAGTATACCTAATTTGATCTTCTTTCAGCATTACGTATGTTACATTTTAATAATAATTTGATATCTAATAATTGAAATATTGTGAAATGTGTCAAAATCTACGAGTATAATGACTAAACTGATGTGAGACACGTAGGTACGTCCGGAATTCCATGCACTGTTGACCTAATAAAAAAAAGTAGCCTCCATTGATTATAATGTACATTATAGTACATAATATTTGTACCTATTATATAGGTACTTGTAATATACATCCTTCACAATTAATATATGGACACCTTTTTAGGGAGCGATTTTAAATTTCACTTAAATGCCGGTTGTAGTTAAAAGGGTAACGAAAATGTCTAATGTAAACTGTCAARTCCACCAGTTTTATTTTCTTACCTGTAATCGGCATTATAAGAAAATTCGCCGTCGTTGTTATTATGGCTTATATTACTATGC